TCATTTTGCATAGATGGAAGTTCTATGATGGAGGCTCTGTTTGCTCTGATTATGTTTCTAGGTTTGTCAGCACCATACCCGTGCTCATGGGTTTCACCCAAGTGGGAAACATCTCAGACCTGCATCACTTCGGGCTTTACCCCCACATCTGGCTGACACGTGATGTGATTGGAATACTGTTCAAAGTGGCTTAAACCCAACTCACTCACTCACTCACTCACTCACTCACTCTATAGTTCATTCTTGCTTATGATGATATGCATCGTCACATATGGACTGATATATATCTCAAATGTTCAATCTTGCCTATGGTGATATAGATCATATCACAGCATCATGGCACCATGATACACAATCAAACACCTTTGTGTTGGAGTTGAAGGGACCTACTTAAATACTTTGAGCTATCTAAGGTTCAACACAACTGAAAATGATGAATAATGAAAGAATACGCACAGACCTAGCTATTACTTTGTGAAAACCATAAATTTGACACCTCAAAGTGCGACACAACAGTGTTTGACTGTGTCTCTAATATTCCTTCTTGCCTATGGTGATATACATCATATCACAGCCCTTGTATCATGGCACCATGATATGTCTCAAATGTCCAATCTTGCCTATGGTGATATGCATCATATCGCAGCATCACGGCACTGTGATGTACAGTCAAGGTTGAAGGGACCTGTGTAAATACAGACATGTACAGGTTATTACTTGGCAGTTTTCATATTATACCCCATATCGTATCACATCGTATCGCAGACCTATGTACCATGGCACTGTGATATATCTCATATATTAAATGTTGCTTATGGTGATATACATCGTATTGCAGCCCTTGTATCATGGCACTGTGATATATAGTGCCTGTATCGTTATAGCACTTCTCCACACCATGGTGTATTGATCCCAGTATCCAGGCTGGACACAGGCAAGTCTCAGTTGTGTACAGCTGTATGATCTGTGGTCCCTGTAGTCTGGCCACACCACAAGGTTGGCGTGCAAGTAATGGTCTTCACACCGATATAACCATAAGAATGCAAATGCCTAATTTAATGATGGAATGACAATGCCCATGTAATGGTATTATTGTGATGAAAGCCTGCATGTGATCTGTGATCGTGTGGGGTTGTGGTGCTGAATAATGTATTGCTTTCACTCTGATACAGTTCGCCTGTATCTGAAAAATGAAGGGTGTGGGAATCTTTATGGTGATTCAGAAATCAGTCTGGAAAGACAAGAGATTGTAGTGTAGTGCTTTCCTTGTCTATTCTAGGTTTACACGTTCATACATATTTCATACGCGGTAGCAGTCATATGGAAAACTAGAATATTTTGTTTCAACGACAGTGTAACCGAGAATTGAGAATAGATGATTATTTCATGGCATACATATCTGTGACATTTCATCGAACAAAGGAACATCCTGATTTTGTAATAGCAGTGATATATTTAGTATGCGGGTTTAGTTATAGTTCCCTAGAACTAGAACCAAGTGAAGATTCAGGCTAGAATTGGTCTTCAGTAACCCTTGTAAGATTAACGGCATCAGGTGGTCATGCTTGCTGACTTGGTTGGTGCTTTTCAACGTATCATAATTGAGCAGGTCAATGCTCATGATGTCAGTCATTGAATTATTATATCCCCCGACCTTTTAGGTCGGGGTATATAGTTATACCAAGGTTCTGTCCGTCCGTCCAAAAACTTTGTCCGCGCGATTTCTCTTAAACTATTCAGTGGATTCATCTCAAACTTTGTACATATAATCTGTGTCATATGGTGGGGTGCAGTCAAAATTTAAAAAAATGTTTTTATTAATTTTCCATTTTTTTATGAATTTTTCAAACCCTTACCCTATCCATTATTTAATTTGAAACTACTGACACACTAGGCGGGTCGGGGGTATTAGTGAGCCACGCTCAATTTTGCCCTTGTTTACACTGCTGTCATATAGCTGGAATATTGCTGAGTGCTGTAGCTGTTTTGTAATCTTAGGCTAAATTGACCCCAGTAATCCATAATTGATGTATAAATATCTATAATGGGAAGTGTAGGTCGGTCTGGCTGCTTGGTGAGGATACCCATTTGATGTATGTACAGGTCACCTGGACGCTATGACCCCTCCATAGCTGGAATACTGCAGACTAGGCACTAATAGAGAATTCAGCAACAGTGTTTGTATATAGGAGACGTATAAGCTGTGTTCTGGTTAATAAGTGTTTGTGGAGGCCGGGGCGAGACAAACACCTATTAGCCGGACAAGTGTAAATACCTGTTAATGGGAAAAGGTAGGAAATGGTAGAAGATTATTCCCTACTCTTCTGGCAACATTTGAGATGTAGCCATACGTTCTTGTGACATGTGGTGACCCTAGATGTCAACTCTACACAGGTCCTTCCTAGTTCTCCATGCAATAAATACTTCTTCTGTATGTGTGATGCTATACCAGGTCAGGTGTGGTCATGGTCAAGTCTGTTGGAGGAGTTATCATTGACTGTAATGGTGGGTTTTACCAAAGTGGTAAACGTCTCAGATCTGCATCACTTCAGGCTTTTCTCCCACATAAAGCATACATGTGATATGTCTGAAAACTGTTAAAGGCAGCGTTTGACCCAACTGACCCACTTATTCATAAGTAGTCCCACCTGTCTTCGGTAATACCATTAAGCCCATCAACTCTGACCGTCATCCATTATGTCCCATCACAACATTCAAGAAACAGGTGCTATGATGTTAGGTCTCCCAATGTTGTTCCGAACAGTAAAATTGTCTTTGTCCATGAAAAGGTTTTCTGTCCATGTTTCTTTGTCCCTGTCAAACAGTGTAGGAATTAAGCATGTTGGGTTTCATGTCAGTGTTGAACGAACATTCTAGCCAATATTATTCCACGACGAATTACCAGTGTTTCTGATTAAAATATACCCTGTTGTTGTCATCCATACCACATGATTGCGACCTGTGAAGATTCCGGGGTAGTATAGGTCTTCAGCAACCCATGCTTGCTGTAAAAGGCGACTATGCTTGTCGTAAAAAGGCGACTAACGGGATCGGATGGTCAGCCTCGCTGACTTGGTTGATGCATGTCATCGATCCCAATTGCCTGGATAGATGCTCATGATATTAATCACTGGATTGTCTGGTCCAAACTCGATTACTTACAGACCGCCGTCATATAGCTGGAATATTGCTGAGTGCGGCGTTACACAACAAACCAACCAATCAACCACCTGATTGCCATGATGACCTATACAGGGATTGGGTGGTTGTGACTCTGCTGCCAGTGTACTCATGGTGTAGGACGTTGATCACAGATTTGATTCTTCACAGACCGCTGTGACATAGTTGGAAAATAAAACCAGGATTCCAAGCATAAATTTGGTCAGTGAAATACAAAGCCATAACATACATTATTAATATATAACATGAATTGGGAAATTTGGAATTCAAATTTGGGAGTTTTTCCGGACAGTTGCTGCAAACTTGGAGCAGTGTATCAGCCTCTAAGCAGGTCCAAATAAATCTGTGTGTGATTATTCTATAATTTGGCTGACAGTGTGCCAAATACAGACTTTCTGTTCATATGGGACCTGTCTAGGCCTGAATGGTAAGCTATCTATATTTTCAATGATGCATGACTCCGACCTTACCTTGACCCCTTTCATTCACCTAATTCAACCCCCATAGACACACTGGAGACTGACTACTATTGAAGCGTATGGGCTAGATTGCCTTTGCTTTGAAAGTATGAGTACAATATAAATTATGTATGGTAGTTCAATCATATGTCCTACCATTCTAGAAATGAAAGATAATTATTTTACAGCCCTGATCGTGGGTTGTTAGTTGTTGTATATGCTACTGAAAAGAAGTTAAGGACCAACCGATTCTTTCATATTACAGTAGTGCAAGAGGTTAATCTTCGTGGCACTTTAGTAATATGAAAGAATTGGGTGGTCCTTAACTTCTTTTCAGTAGTTTATATGTGTGGGGCGTGCTGCAAAGTAAATTATTACCCGAGCAGCTCCTGCTGATGAAATGTGCAAGAGGATAGCATTCCAGCAAGCTGTACCAGTGCTGGTGAACCATGACACATAGATATCACATTCACCTCTTTCCACCAGAATAGAAAAAAACACCTCGAGCAATAATTAGGTTTCGGAAAAGTAGATTGATTTTATGACTGCTTCAGTAAGCTAAGAAAATGTGACTACATCTTTGAAGTGGGATTTTAAGTCTAGGAGTCTGGCCATGCTTTTAGGTAATCCCATCGCTGCGTGTATACACAGGAGAAGCCCAGTGTGGGTACTTTGCCTGTCTTCCCTGCATTACGAACATTGCCAATCAAGGGATTAGTCCGTGACCAGCTCTAATGTTGTCTGAAAGTGTGATATTACACTTTATGTCGTTGTTCACCAGATCAAAGGCCAATTATAATGATGGCGTCTGTCTATGTGTTTGTGTGTTATGATGTCTGTCTGTCTGTGTCATGTCTTGTTTGTCTGCATACATAAACATTTTCTGTGAAACCAGCAGGAACAACTAGACCAAATCATTTCCAACACACTTCAGTGAGGACAGTTAAAGGTGTTCAAGAAGATCTGATTTGTCTTTCTCAGGACATTTTTGGCCCTTTGTCAGCCAATTTGGCAGTGGTTAAATTTTGTACCTGTAGTATATAAATGGTCTTACATACAGAGGAAGTGTTTATTTTGGTGGTTTGACCTTCCTATGACCTAGTTTGTATAAGTAGCACTTTGATCACCAAGTCAAACGTAATATACTAGATCACTAGGGTTTGGCATCCATTTTGACGTTCAGTTAAGGTCAAAGCCCTTTCTGTATAAACTGGTACAAATACTGTATGTTAGTTTATATGTGAATGTTAGTTTTACTTCACGAAAAACAACAATTTCCAATCAGTGATGATACGTTATGTATGCGTTTGTCAATTCCTTTCTGTCAAGGTCAACTCACTTCTTGTTTATACTCTTGTCCAGGCCCCTTGGTAAATGAGGATGCTGTGATGTTGTCGGACGTGAAGGCGTTGATATCCACCCTGTTCTCCACCCTGAATGTGGAGCAGTATCAGCTGGAGCGGGAGAAGGAGCTGCAGCAGCAACTGGAGGACCTTAAAGTGCAGCTGGCTCCTCTAGAACGGGTAGTTATCTCCCTTAGTGTTTTCTTCCCTTTCCATAGTTTTCATTACTGGACACATGAAGACCTGGGTAGAATGGTCTTCAGCAACCCATGCTTGCTGTATCAGGCGACAATGCTTGTCATAAGAGGCGACTAACAGGATCGGGTGGTCAGATTCTCTGACTTAGTTGATGCATGTCATCGTATCCCAATTGCATAGATCGAGGCTCATGATGTCAATCACTGGGTTGTCTGGTCCAGACTTGATTATTCCAGACCGCCGTCATAAAGCTGGAATATTGCTGAGTGCAGAGTTAAACAAACAAACAAACAAACAAACAAACTTCTTGCTGACATGAGTTATGTTGATGGTGTTGGAGTACTACAGATGTTCTGTAGAATATAACCAATTGTGGCCTGATTTACCAAGAACTTGCTGCTTTCCTTAGATATAGATTATATGTCCTGCCCTTGATAATTATCCCCCGCCCAACGAAGTTGGCGGGGGATATAGAAACAGGCTCTGTCCGTCCGTCACGTTTCGTTTCCTGAGCATAACTCAGAAACCGTTCAATATTTTTTCATGAAACGTTTCCAGGTCTGTCAAGTACATGCTGAACTGGTGCCTTTTGCTATTTAGAAATTTGAGAAATATTTATTTTTTTACGTTTCCATGGCAACAAGATGGACTTAGGTTCTGTGATGGTAGGGTTCGTTTCCGGAGCATAACTCAGAAACCATTCAATATTTTTCATCAAACTTTGCAGGTCTGTCAGGTACATGCTGAACTGGTGCCTTTTGCTATTTAGAAATTTGAGAAATATTTATTTTTTACGTTTCCATGGCAACAAGATGGACCTAGGTTTCAAACTCTTCTTTTTTTTTACAATTTCCATGACAAGTTCCACCTCGGTTAAAAAAGGTTAGGGTTTGTTTAGATTTAATTATGTCATAAATTCTGCAACAGGGGCGGGGGATAATAGCCACGTTAGTGGCAAACTCTTGTTACCCTTCATATGAAACTAGATTATTTAAGAGATTAACGACATGTGGGAGTTGTTTATTGTAGATTAAAAACGACCGCAAGTTGTTTATTTGTTATATGTGATATCAACATTATGTACAGCCTCTTTAAGGATGTTGATGAAATGTACAAGCTTTAAAAATATTGATCCAAATTTTAATAATATGCTGAATAGAATCCGAATGTCAGACAGGTCAATTTTACGAACAGGTGGGTTGAGCTTTCCTGCATATTCTCACAGTCCTCATGTTGATTATCTGTACCTTTTCTCTCAATACCGATTGTCATATCTCTTCCACTTTTGGATGCGATCGTTCGGCCACTGAGTTTATCTGTGTAGCCCAGCTACATCTATGGGAACAACTTACTTGACACTTCCATCTCAAAAACGTTGTCGTCTAATATATGACATCATCAAGTTGCGAGCGCATATTCAGATCGGATGAAATGATGTCATGTCAATGTTTTATCGTGAATAAACTACATTTGTTCTTCATTGTTCCTTGCGATTTATCACATAGCTATCTTATATTTTCAAATTGAGAACACTAAAAGACATTGAACTTCTGCAGGTAGGGTATTCGACGTAATAAGCGCCCAGGGCGCTCTCAAAATAAGAAATAGGGGGATCTTATCAGAATGTTATTTTGGTGGAAAAAACAGAGGTGAAAGATAAATTTTGTGGTTTATACCGACAGCCTGAAATGTTTATGTACGACAGATATATTATTCCAGAATTAAATGCCCATAATTAAGGGTGCATAAAACACACGAGTGCATATTATACGGGAATATATAAGTCGTGTGTACATTGATCACTCGGAAGGGGTGCTGATTGGGATTGTTCAATAGCCAATATCTTAGCAAATGTCGCCGTGGGCGCTTATTACGTCGAATACGGTACATTAAGATTAGCAATTATTGAAGGGATAGCAATTATTGAAGTCTGGTGAAAATGTGGTCGCTTTGCTGTGGCACCTCATTGATCTGGCTGTGTTTTGCATATGCCTATTTGGATTTAAATCAAATTTTTTTCCAAAGTTGTCTGGAGTGAAGAAATAAAAAGAAGATTTATTTCAAGTATTGATCTAGTCAGATTGATCATGAATGTGGTTTATGTAAATTGAACAGTAGATAGCTTTCTAAGTGAAATCTGAACCTAGACCAAGATATTGGGATGTCATGCGGCTGAAATATAGGAGCAGTGGTTTCAAGCTTAATGTTAAAATCAATGTGAAGTTCCATCTACACACACCTCAGGTGACAGCAGTGTTCACACAAGCTCACCTCTGAAGAACACTGGGGGATTGTGTACAGCATTATGGCCTTGTCATAGGCTGAGCTGTCAATATCATGCTGTTTTACCCGCCATGAAATTCAAATGAAATGTTTTTATCTATTTTTCATGATGTTGATGTTACCTGACTTTAAGGTTGGTCATGTCCATGCTCCCACAAACCCACAAATCATCCACAAAAAGTCCACAAATAGTCAATCATCAAAGCAATTTAGTTTAAACGATTCCACCAGTTTGATGTCATCAGAAAGCAACAGAAGTATTATTTCTGTTTGTTTCTGACGGTGGGTTTGAATTCCAGTTCACCCCGATTATTCTAGAGGTTTGTCAGCACGTACCCATGCTCATGGGTTTCACCAAAGTGGTAAACATCAGAGTCCTGCATCCTTTGGGCTTTCCTCCCGCATTCAGCTGACATGTGTGATTTAACTGGAATACTGTTCAAAGCAGCATTAAACCAAATTCACTCGCTTGCTGACGCACTTCGATGATATGATCTGTTTATGTATACTCTGGCTTCACTTTCAGATAAAAGTTTCACACTCTTTGTGGCAGGAATGATGTGTTTTATAAGGATTTTTGTTCAAAACATTTCTTTTTCGGTGATGATGGTGATTCTCTGATAGTAAATGGGTATTTGAGGTATAGTGTGCTGAAGTATGTCAACTGCTGAAATATGATTGTTGCAGAGCTGGCCATTGCTGGCTCTATCCTTCTTAGACTTAGAGTGAGCGAGTGAGTGAGTTTTGTTTTACGACGCTTTTAGCAATATTTCAGGAATATCACGGCAAGGGACACCAGAAATGGGCTTCACACATTGTACCCATGTCGGGAATCGAACCCGGGTCTTCAGCGTGACGGGCGAACGCTTTAACCACAAGGCTACCCGTCCGCCCTCTTAGACTTAGAAAGATGGAAGAGATCTGACATGTAGTATGGAATCAGAAGGAACAGATAAATCTGTGGATATTTACATGCTTCAAAAGAATACAAACTTTGAAAGCAAATGATGATCATTTCAGCATTTTGTAATGTAGATATGCATTGATGTCTTTATTTTTAAAAACAAATTACCTGAAGTTCATTTCATTATTTCAGTGGCCTGATCACCTCGTTTGTGCCAATTACACGAGCAAATCATATGACCTTCATAGTGAACAAGGGAAATGTATGCTGTTAGTGCTGGGCAGTGTTTTCTAGACATATATGTTTTCATATTTGGGATGTTGCATGAAACCGAACACTACCTTTCTGTATATCCTTTTCAGTTATGACACAGAATTTTTTCACCAGATAACAGTTTATTTATATGGAGAATGTGACTTTGGCTTATAGGAAGAAATCAGTCTGTTGCATGGGTGTCAGAACTGAAAAACCTTTTGTACAAACTGATCGATTCCAGCTTGCAGCAGTTGTATTTTTACTTATTTGCATGATGATAATGTCATTTGTTTGAGTGTGTTTGTGAAAATAACACTTCTAATCGTTTCTGTTTTCCTTGGTAGGTTAAACAAGATCTGGCTATGAAGTCGACTAACTACACGTCGAAGCTGACATGGCTGGGCCTGGGTTTGATGGGGCTTCAGTTCGGCATTCTTGCCCGACTCACTTGGTGGGAGTACTCCTGGGACATCATGGAGCCGGTGACCTACTTCGTCACATACGGAACCACCATGGCCATGTATGCTTACTTTGTCGTCACAAAACAGGTGGGTCAAAATGAGGTTCACTTCTGCTTGAACAAGGGTATCTAGCATTTATATGCATCACTTTTAGTTTGAAGGCGCTCTTCCTGCTAAAGATTGCAGATGAATGTAATTTTATTAGCAGCCCCACACATTTGGTAAGAATTAACTTTCAGACAGGGGCGTTGTTTTCTAAACAGTGAGGTCTAGGGATGTCAGAGATATTAGGAAATAAACCTACATTTTCAATGTAGAGCTAGGTTACCTGTAGATTTAACTGAGGGGGTTATTGTGATTTGAAACCTATTTGACCAATCAAAATGGAGTATTTTCCAAATTCATGATAGAATGTGTTTTGTGTGTCTCCTCTGTGGCACCTTGTTGGGATTCAGGGGAGGAATTAGCCTGCAGTGACTTGGGTGATTGGGGTGTCGTCATACCTCGATGGAGTGTATCACTGTTCATAATATCAATCTCTGGATTGTCTAGTTGAGCCTCGATAATTTACAGGCTTCCATCATAAAGCTGGAATATTGCTGAGTGTGGCGCAACTACAACAAAATGTACACATCAACCCATGTGACTAGCTTTCACCTGCGTGATTTAGTACATCATTGTAGCCAGATTATGTGAGTCAATGATTGTACATCAGCTTTTGATTCAGGTCTGAGCACCATCATAGCACTCATTAAATGTATGAGTGCTACAAAGTGTCTCCGACCTGAATTCTTACCGTATTTTCTTGAGTATAGTGCGCACCCATGTATAATGTGCACCCCCCTCTAGTGGGTTCAATATTTTGGAAAAAAAGAAATTTGAATATTATGCGCAGAAAATATTTACACCGTACCCCTTCAGCGAAGTCCGGCAAACGAACGAGTGATGAGAAACTTCGTCAGTACAAATTCAAAATTGGAGATAAAAAATCACCAGACATGTTTATTTACCGTTTAAATTGTACTTTTTGTTCAGCTAGGCATTAATTTATATCCAGGGATTAAGATTACCTTGTGTATTTTCTCGTAACAATATTAAAAGGAATTTTGAATAAAATTAACGAAATAAGTTACAAACATAAGTCCAGATATACAAAGAACACTTTTTATAGCCAGACAGTGTAATTACATGGATAATTTGCGAACTTCAGTATGGATTTGTTGACACGGTATTTCCGGTGTTACGTGCTCATTGTAATGTCTTTCCATGGAGGAAAAAACATCAAAACTCATTAATTCGTGTATAATGCGCACCCCCTTGTACACGGCTGTGTTTTTTGGAAAAAAAGTGCACACTATACTCAAGAAAATACGGTATGTCATTTGACGTTAAGTTGTTTAATGGCGGTCTGATAATAATCGAGTCTTGGCGAGACAAACCAGTGATTGAAATCACAAGCATCAATCTATGCAATTGGAATATGATGACATGCATCAACCAAGTCAGTGAGCCTGATCTACCGATCCAACCAGTCGTCTCTTATGAGCTGCCAAAGACTTTCAGAACCCTGAGGATGGATGAACTGATCTTTGGTGTAACAATCATGTCATATGTTTTCAGGACTACAGTTTCCCTGATATAAGAGATCGCCAATTCTTGTTGAAGTTCTACAAGCAAGCCAAGAAGCAGAATCTAGATGTTCATAAGTACAACGAATTGCGTGACGCTGTCTCGCAAGTTGAACACGACCTCCGCCGCCTTCGTGACCCCCTGCAGCTACACCTACCCATCACAGAGCTAGAGAAGGTCAAGTTCAAACAAGAAACAGCATAAGCACTGGCACAGTTGTTGCTGTAGTATAGTGCACTGCAGAGGGTAGTTGGAGTCAGGGTTGTCCATACCAGGAAGGTGGGACGTATTTGTCATATTCACCGGAATTATTGGGAATAGAGAAACTGTTATGCCATGAGAACAAAAGACTTTGTCTGAAAGGGTTTACTGACTGTCCAGGGCCCGCTTCCATGAAGTGATCTTAGTGCTTTGTCTTTCTTAACTCGTTGTTTGAGTATGGGGTTACGTCTCTGGTAATGGATGCTCACTGAAAGATGCCCATGACCAATGACATATTAGAGCAGGAGTTGGAATTGTTCAGGCCTAAGATTGAATTAAAGAACAGGGTCTTATCCCTGTGTTAGGGAATGAAAGCTGTTTTAGATGTTGACAGAAGACAAGTTTGAGCAATAAGATTAAACGGTGTTTGGTACTGGTTGCAATAGTTGTAGCACTAAGGTAGGTTTGAGGAACAGGCCCATCTCCTTTATGAGTCATATATGGCACACCTGGGAAAAACTCTCTGGTTGGAGAAAAAATCAGTACAGGGCAAGGTGGTGGGAATTCTTTCGAATACTTGCCAGGACACGAGTCAGTGCCGGAACATGAGTCAGTGCCAGGAACATCAGTTATCATAAAGCTCTGGGCCAGAGTCCACAAAGCGATCTTAGCGCTATGACGATCATAACTTTGATATAGACTTACGAAAGTGCTGAGACTGCTTTAGGGACAAGGCTAAAGTAAGTTCTTACAGATGTCTGCCTTACAGTGCATATAAGGATTGCTTTTAAGCTGGGTTAGCGTAAATACCAATACCCTTCTAGGGGCATCACAGTTTTAATCTCAACAGTCATTCCTCAACACTAGGACAATCTGCAGTGACCATTGGCCATTTTGACAACCTTTAATATCCTGCTTACACGTCTCGTACAGACTCTAGCTGTAAAAGAGCTAGTCAAATTCTTACTGTTTACATGACTATGGGAAAAGTGTCACCTTTCACTTTGCTGTATTTGGTCATCTAGTAGAACTAGTGACTTTTCTCAGTTAATATACTGATGGAAATTAATCAGGGAACACTTCGTTTTCAATACAGCAAAATGATATCCTATCTTGAGTTGTTCGCAGCCATGTCTACCAAATACATGTTGAAAGAATGCACACAAACACATCTCTAGACGTTTGATTCTGAATTTATATGCGCGCTATTTCAAATGTACTGACAGTAAAGCTGACTTCCCCATATTTTTCTTTGTTCCCTTATTTGTTTCCATCAGTATATTACTGGTCGTGTGGAAACTGATGGACATTTGTCGTATGGACAGTTTTTGATAAGGTTAGACTCTGTGTATTACATGTTAAATATCTCCACATGGATCTGTGTATTACATGTTAAATATCTCCACATGGATCATCCAGAACTAGGCTAGTACTCTTATTCATCAAGTTCCTATTTGTCCTTAATGGTCATTGAGATGAGCTATTCAAACACTGTCCTATGCTGTAAGTAACTGCTATACAACATCGGAGAGGTTGATTCTCACAGTATACATATCATGTAGGCATCACGCTGTAGGTTGTTCTGACAGCATAGTGTTACAAATCATACCACGGATTACGGAAATGGTACATCATTTTGATTTGTTGAGAAAGCCTTCCTTTTGGTCCAAGTTTTTCCAAGCGTTATTTTTAGAGTTTTTCTCCTTTTCATCCTGTTATTGTAGTTGATCAATTGTTACCTCTAGGGAATGGTTTCATGGGTGTCAAAACAGCTGTTTTATGTTCTCTGTTTTGTGTGGTTTTCAAATACTTTTGTCCTGTTTTGCACTTGAGGGCTGCACACCTAATATTGAACTCTTTTCCTTATTTAAAGGTTTAGTTGTCCAGTTTGTCATGGAATGTGTCAGTTTTGTTGGAACGTGTCATTGAATTTAATGGAACAAATCACCACACTATGCAACTAATACGTTCACTGTTCACCCCAAACAAGAGAAGTAGTTCTTTAAAGGAGATTTTGAGAACATGTTCAAAACCATTTGTTTCTGAAGTGATTGAACAGTTTTTGTAGGATTATTGAAGGCACTTCTGTTTAAATTAAAACAGTCTTATTCTTTAGGCAGTAGTTTTTCCTGATGTAGCAAATTACTATTTTCAGAAATAATCATTGGTTTTGAGCATGTTTGAATATTTGTATTTTTCAACTTTCAATTCTAATCTTTGTGAAATACCTGTAAATTATCTAGGATTACAGTTTTAGCTTTACATTTGGTGGGTAGTAACTAAAATATGAAGTTGCTATTTATTCTTCAAACTACATTCTTATATGCTGTTTTCAATTTCAATCTTGTTATTAACTTGTTATCAAACATTTTTGACATATCTCAGAATGTTCTGTAGTCTAGTTCTTCATGTGCTTATTCACCAGCTGAATGGGTATAAGAATATTAGTGATAAGTAGTGGTCTGCCTACTAGCATCTGGTAGATTAGGTTTACATTGCATATGACCATACAACTGCCTTGGCAATTAAGATTACAAGATGCTTCTTAATATTATATGACCTTTTTCACCTGCATTTATTTGGATGTTTTTTACTAGTATCTCAAAATAATAACATGTTCTTAGTTCTTGGAACTTTTTAAACATTTGAAATGTAATTTTCATTATTGATCAAATAAATCATCAGATTAAATTGGAACAAAAATAAAATATTGTCCCACAAGGCTACCATTTCGCATAGTATGAAATTTGAGTAAGTGTTTTAAAAAGATGTTAAAAGTTGTTTGATTTTGTTGTTTTTCTTTGACGATTTCACAAATGAATTGGATGTGGTCTCATATTCAGAAAATGCTATTGTACTTAAGAAAAAAACCAAATGTCTCAACCTCATTTGTTAACCTGTAGTACTAGCATAAAAGGGCACCTGCTTAGCTTGTAGGGGTGAGTAGGTTTATGTTAAAAGTAATAGCAGAAATTGAATAAGTCCACTGTACGTGTTTAGGTTGTGATGCCAGATTGTCCACTGCCTTAATACATAATGTGTGATAGATATTTTCAAAGAGGTTTTTCACTGTGGGGCTTAGACTATACAAATCCACCGTTCATGTGTCAAGATGTTTTCAATATGAGGCTAATGATAAATATGAATAATTGGTTGATCTGTACTTTTTGAAATATTGGTGTTAGTTTCCATGTTTTGTGTTCAGTTATCGAAAGTGTGCTCCATGCACGTGTTTGTCATAGCAAAAAATGCTTTCTTTAGATCAAGATGGACATTTTTCAACTAGATGGAAAAAAAGCAATGCCAACCACATGTGTATCATGGCAGATCGTTTCTGTTCTGTAATATGCTTAGTATGTGTAGACAGTTGTGTTACGGACATGGGTTTTATAGGATGACCCTACAGCATGATAAGCCTATCCAACAGGGTAACTGATGCCGAGCCTCAATGTGATGCCATCAGAGACGAGTGGATGGATGAGGCGTATGACAGGGACATACAATAAGCTGGAATGTTTCCTGATAGAGAATATGTAAAAGTTGGAATGTTTCCTGATAGAGAATATGTAAAAGATGGAATGTTTCCTGATAGAGAATATGTAAAAGATGGAATGTTTCTGATAGAGAATATGTAAAAGTTGGAATGTTTAGCTGAAAGGCATACAAGCTGTGATCCCCCAAAACCTTGACTGGATTGTTTCGCTCTAAGTTGACGACTTTCGCCTTTACCCAACATAGTCAAGGTTATATTGGGGCCATATAAGTGGAGTTTCTTCACCTATTACACATAAGCATGCATGTGGGTGTGATGATGATCAGTGATGTGCTTATACAGTTATAGGTGTACATTCATCGTCCCATTGGTACAATGTCTGATGGGCAATTAAGGCATAACTCACTGTCAGTAGCTTTTTGCAAGAAACTAGAGACAAAGTAATCCTACATTCTGAATGGCTTGAAATACCTCCTCCCGTATAGCTGTGATGAAACACCTTGAATCTGTGAAAGGTGAATACCGGTAACTGGAATAAAGATCTTAATGGTATGATGTTCAAGATATCATGTGCAAAAAATGTGTTGTACATAATAGATTTTGTAGGTTGACCACAACAAATGGCCTGTTATTCATGGAGGAAAGCTATCAGCAGTAACCTTGTATGTGATAAATCACCATATTTATTTTTAATCAGAACCAGAGTTGTTTACAAAAATGTTCCAAAGATATGGCCAGTTTTTATCAGGTAAACCACAAGTTATAAATTTCGCTGTTTGACCGACACATCTGTGGGTCTTTGATGAAAGCAAACAGTTATTTCATCTTTTGCACATAGTATCTTAATATACTTCCGTTTAAAGTCTTTGAGTCTGACAGTATGCAAGTGTGATAACCAGAATTTGTTTATTTTTCATCATGAATGTCCAACTGTTGTAGTGATCCCATGAAAGTTGTCTCTTGTTTCAGTGATGACTTTATCAATGTTACCATATTACTGCTGAACAAGGTTTCCCTCTCCAAAGAGGAACGGTGGTATGTTTATCAGAAGTTTAACATAGGTTCAGGAAGGATGATCTCCATGGCTTGACAGTGATGTGTCTACATTGTCATGAACATAGTCCATTTTTTTGGCCCCAAACATTTTGTGTTAATCCAGGACCATTGGTGCCTCTTCCTTTTCCAATTTTGGTTCTTGTAGGCTTTTTACCATTATCTTTATCACAGTAGCAGCGTTTTGCTCCAAGACTGATCATGCTCTGAAGGGAGGGAGTTTCCTCTAACGACACTTTACTCCTAAACTGTTCTGTACATGTGTTCAGACATATTGGAACCAAGTCTCTTTGTGCTTTTCAAAAAATTATTCTGTACCTCAGTTGTATCTGTGCTAAAGCACAATGAAAATGCATAATCAACTTTAACTCAAAATCAGAAAAGATGTGCTTTTGTGCTCAAGTCCATCTCCAAACACATCGAATGAGATTGAAACCCGTACAACGACATTGTTGTGTTTGATTATCTCATGCCTAAAAAAAGAGAACTTCATTTGTTTTTTATGGCCATTTTGCCAAATGTTGCCCAAAATAGTGAATATGCATTTTCAAAGTGTTTCAGTATAGATCAGGCAGCTTCGCCAAAATTAAACCATAGAAATGTCTGTATGCACTCATAAACCCAAGAGTACATTCATGTTGAAGAGAATATTCAAAACATTTAAATTCCAAAAATACATCATCTGACAAGGAGAAAGGCTCAGGTCGTCTGCAAGATTTCACTTTCAGTTGGTGTTTAAGCTGATTTTTGGAAACCAGATACACATCTGAGGATGTACAGCTATGTTGTTACTTGCACATCAAAGATAAAAACAGTTTTCTCTGTTGTTCCAATAAAGTGTTAGTGTGTCACTCGTGTAAATAGGCCAATGAATACGTAAAGCCATATGGTACGGACACCGCTATTGCCCTTACAACTGTTACTGTCCTGTGGTATTAATGGTACTTGTTTGAAACAGATAAAAATAATAATAAAAATATTGACATATTGGGTTTAAATGAGGTCACAATGTTTCTCATTTTACTGTCAATGTGCACATACGCCAGTTATATCTTTAGTTGATTATCATTGTTAATCGAATTAACCTGTTTGTTGCATAATATATATAAACAAATATATCAATATATACATACCCTAATGTTTAGTAGGAAATTAATCTGGCTATATCAGTGATATAATATGCCTGTGGAATACCTACATGTATGTCATGATCTGCTTACTCTGTTCTCCACTTTCACACTTTCTACTTGTGTAGCACATGGAGCATCTTCGTGTGCACAGGTGAAGGTTAATATTAGTTTTCTTCCAGTTTGTTTATAGGCCCTATGATCCAAAGTTTCACCAATTCAGAACAAATTTCCCCAAAGTCTTTTTTCTCCAAATAAAGTCTGTTAAGTACCTACAGTCATGAAAAGGAATAATAATAAAAAGCCAATGGGGGCAAGGAAGTAAGTCCTTTGGCTTGTTTTCATAAAAGGCATTTTTAATTCATTTCATTTGTTCTTTCGAAAAGACAATTTTTTAATTTTGATATTTTTGCAAAAATGAATCTGTATACCTAATACTTCACAAGAGAGGCCTTATGTCCTTGCCAGAACACATTTTTTGCAGTCTCCAGTGTGGGCAAACAGTATCAAATAATAAGACCAGAAGTTTTTGAAAATGTGAGGGTGAGGATGTTACTTCAGGTATCAAGTTTCATTCTAGTTTGTTAAATTGAAATATAATTTTTGTTATGTTTATTTGATGTTTCACAGGATTTGTTATTTTGAGAATGGTAGCTAGTTATCCGAAGAAAAGCACTCTGTGTACATATTCTCCCGCTCTTTCCATTTCTTCAAACAAGTTGCCTGTATCTTCTGGTATGTTATACAATGCATGCTGGGCAGTTTTAGAACCTCACTATATTTACACATCTAGATAAATTGCACCAAGTGCCATGTTTATATCTGTAACACCCAGAAATTATTATTAATCCTAGTTACCTGGAACCAAGCCCAAGGAATGAATGTATGGGTCCTTTACAATAGTTATCTTTAGAAAAGGAATGCTTTGTTCAAGCATCAGCTTTTGATACTATGTTTGCTTGGTGAAAACCTCAGGATGACATGCTCTCACTTGAAGCTGGTGTCAGATGTGTAGATATATAGACGTTTGTAAAACTGTGGTATATGAAGACCTACCATATTCTGCTGTTGTAGCCTGACACAGACCATCATCTCCAGGTTTGTATGTAATGATCACACACTCAGCTCTTTCTATTTTCAGTAAAAATAAATTTTGATAGAATTAACCCATTGGAATGATGTTGTTGTCTTTTCTCAACTAATAGACACCTGCTACAGGATGAGTGGTTAACACTGCAAGGAGATTGGATAATGGCTGTTGAGAAGTTTGTCCATCTTCTGTCAAATGACTAAACATCAGAATTGAATATACAAGAGAGCGTAACAAATGTTGGGATAACACTTTCTTTGTAAGGTACAGATTCTCATACTTTTCTGGGTTGAGTCCCATCTAGGATTCGAACCCACACTGCCAGAGTGAGACACATAATCGCCAGCACAGTGTTCATAGCTTTCGGCCATGAGAGCCATGCCAATTTACACTTGTCAGATGGGTTCACAAAGTTCGTGATCTATACTACCAGTTGTCGGACTTTCATTTTTGTGGAAGCCTAGGTGGCTGAGTGGGTTAGATCGCTGACTGTGTACTGGCGATTAGGTGCCTCACTCTGGCAGTGTGGGTTCGAATTCTGGACGGGACTTAACCCCAAAAAGTACGAGAATCTGTAATTTACAAAGAAAGTGTTATCCCAAATATTACATTTGTTACATTTGACCACTTTCTAAATGGCATTGGGGGGCACAGGTGGCCCAGTCATCTAAGACGCCGCGATTCGCTGTGCAGAGTTGCGTCCCTTGGACACGCCAGAAACCTATGATTGTGGGTTTGAATCCCGGTTCGCCCCGATTATGTTTCTGGGTTTGTCAGCACCACACCCGTGCTTGTGGGTTTCACCGAAGTGGTAAACGCCTGAGACCTGCATCGTTTCGGGCTTTCCTTCCAAGTTCAGCAGACACGCCGTGATATAACTGAAATACTGTTAAAAGCGGCGTTAAACCCAACTCACTCACTCACTGAATGGCATTGTGTGTTCATACAAAAGAGCAGTTGAATCAGAATGTACCAGCGCTTGTAGGACCCTTGGACCAGCACCTGTAGGACCCTTGGTGCAGCTGATTGTCTGTAGGACCCTTGGACCAGCACCTGTAGGACCCTTGGTGCAGCTGATTGTCAGCTTTGAGATCAACATGGTGCTTGTAGGCTATTCATGTGTGTTCATGAACTTTTGTGAGTGTCTTTCCAGTTAATAAAACACATACTTTGGTTCACAAACACTGAATGTTGCTTAAGGCAACATGCCAATTTTGAAGGTATGTCATGGTGGGCAGTAGAAAATCAAGTCCAGATCATTGACTGAAAGCATGGGAATCCATGTAATCTGAACATAAACACCAGCCAGCCAAGTCATAGAGGACAATCATAAGTGACCAAATTATGGAGAGGCATGTGTAGGCCAGGGTAATGGTTGTTCAAGGGTAAAAGGTCATAGAGTCTACAGTTAATCTACTATTGGACACCGCGACACTTGAAAGATTGATTAATGAACATTGTAACTCTCTTTGATTGAGTAAAAGGCTAGGAGCTACTAACTGATCTTAACTCTCGATCCTTTAACATTGACATGCGATAGTCAAACTGCTAAGGTCACTGTGGCCCCGGGCCTAGATCTAAATTAACCATGAGATTAGTCGTCTGCCAATACTGATTGGTCATTTGGCAGTAGAGTCTTACCAGGTTTGATAGAAGTCAAGGTTCATGAAATATACTGAACAACAAAAGTTCCTGTGACATTGAATAAGATTTAATGCAAAGTTATGTTTTTTACCAAATTTTGAAACAATTTCGGTTTGCAACAGATAAAAGACTCCTGTAAATGTTCAAATGGTTTGATTTGCCATACTGACTTCAGAAAATGCGTGTTTTTATAAAAAAAAACCCATTAACATGCCAAAATGTCAATTTCCAAATCAATAGCGTGTGTGTCCACCGCTGGTTACGATGCAAGTAACATATCTTCGTCTCATGGAATGGACCAGGTGTTGCACAAAGTCCTCTGGGATATCTGTCCATATCTGCTGGAGCATGTTTCGAAGTTCCTGGAATGTCTGTCGAACATGTGGTTGACGTGGAAGGCGCCGATCCATCTCATCCCACATGGGCTCGACTGGTGAGAGATCAGGGGAGCGAGCCGCCCAGGGGATGACATTCACGTTGGTTTGTTGAAGAGAATCCTGAACAAGTCGAGCAATCTAGGCCGGGCATTGTCATGTTGAAAGGTAATGCCTGGGCCATGACGACGCAAAAACGGTTGAACAACAGGGCGGATGATCTCGTCGCGGTAGCCCTGTCCATTGAGATTTCCCTCTACCACTATCAAACGGGTCCTCTGTCATGCTGTGGGGCGGTCGGGTAGCCTTGTGGTAAAAGCGTTCGCTCGTCACGCTGAAGACCCGGGTTCGATTCCCGACATGGGTACAATGTGTGAAGCCCATTTCTGGTGTCCCCCGCCGTGATATTGCTGGAATATTGCTAAAAGCGGCGTAAAACCAAACTCACTCACTCACTCACTGTCATGCTGTAATCCCACCCCATTCGATAATGCTGCCGCCCCCGAACCGATCTTCTTCCATGACACAATGATTGACGTAACGTTCACCTCGACGTCGGTACACATGAATCCGTCCATCGCTGTGGCTGAGGTGGAAACGAGACTCGTCAGTGAATAGAACTTGTCCCAACTGCATGGCCGTCCGGCGTAGACGCTGTCTGCACCACTGTAGACGTGCTTGACGGTGGTTTCCTGTAAAAAGACTGCAGGGTTTCAGATCGGTTCATTTCCTGGGACATTGTCCTCCAATATTTCCTAAAGATGTTTTTTTTAATTTTGGTGATGTAAGAGAATTTCCTATCAAACTTTGCTGAGATCATGAAAGCCTGCAACAAAATCACTGAGAAAGTGCTGATTGATGAAACACGTATTAGTCGTTTAGAGTGAGTGAGTGATAAACAGTAACGTGTCAATATGTTCTGTGTTTCATTGCACTAAAAATGTTCATATTCCGCCTCATTGCAATTCACCGGCAATACCAAATGAATTGTTTTCTACTCTATCGACAAAAAGCAAACATCTGGCTGTACAAACATGGCCACAAGGCTTTAAGGAAAAAACGAATATCGATCTAAATATCGATCTGGCCTGAAGACTGATTACAAAAAGATAGCAAGTTGTTGAAGGCATCGTACGCGGTAATCATGACGAAAAGCCACAGTTACTGCTTGAATGGTCAGACTATATAAAGACTATTCGACTAACATGAAGCTTGGAACACCATATTACTGGTGAACGTTTTATCTTGGGTAGAATGCTGGTGGGAAACCAGTCTGATCAAACTCACCGTTGATTAAAAAATAGCAGGGGCATTTTTCTTTTACCTGTTTAACTGAGTTTCACCTCCGATTATTTGCGCCAGTTCAAAAGATCTAATCAGTTTTATTCTAGGTAACCTCCAAATAAATAACGGTAAAACGGCGTTTATCACTTTTTAGAATAAATTGTTCAAGCGATAAAACCTAAATCGTATGACGGAAAAAGCTTACTATAAAAATAAACCACCTTTAAAGATACAAGAAGTTTTTGTAGTGATCGCCGAAGGGTTTAACTAACAATATTCTTTTGATAAGAAAACCTAGGTGAGAAACACATCGAAAGAAAAGATAAAACAATCATTTTCCCTCTTTGATAAGTAAGAGCTGGTCATCTTTGAATTGTTTTTCCTCCTCAAATCGCATCCCAACTTAACTTGAGAGTAAATTATTGCACATTCATCAAACATCTGACATCCCGTCGTGGATTTCGAGCGTGCATTGATGCCCTTAGTTGGAACACATTATAATGACTGACACGTCACGTGACATTCTGAAGGATTAATGGGTGAGGTGAGGTGAAATGGGGTATAACCCCCCTGGATACCACAGGGACATATATGCCTCTCCTCTACAACCTTCACTTTTCCGATCTTAGGAAAATGTGCGTAAAAAAAACCTCGGCATCCAGAGGGTTAACGTCGCGTATAGTGCTAGTTCACTGAGATACCATGCCGCTGTTTAACATGAATACCCCACTCAGACACAGTATACTGACTCCGAGCCGAACAGTCCTTGTTTTAGCCCCTTAAGAAGGATTAATAGTGTTTCATGGGCTGATTTAAGTCTTGATGGTTCAAACACGACGCACAATTGTTGGGATCATGATACTCACACACGTGGTTCTGAAATGTGAACAGCACACAATGATTTTTAGCTATCAGGCGTTTGCAGCAGACCCAGGGAGCGTAAGGGTTGTTAACGCTTACGCAATGCCTAGGGTAGCTGAAAATCAACGTCATCGTGCCATGGGTATGATGCAAACAAGAATGGCTGAACAAGTTGCCAGACATTTTAATATTCATCGTGCAAGGATCTACATGAGTCCACGAGAACGTTTTAGCTACGCTGGCGTTACCCAACGTCGTCAATTTGGGATGGAAGTCCAATGGTATGGAGTGGCATCACAACACAACAATCATGTTCTACCCTTTGTGCACATAGTGCAGGGACGATAACATACAACTCAGTCACTAAATCGTCGGTGACGTCGTCAACAGTGGGTGACGTCATCTTCAATTATATGCGCCAGTGCACTGATCTGATGCACTTAATTGAATTTGGAACGGAACGCGCAGCGTGAGGTTTCAAATGTTTAATTTAGCGCTGTTAAATCTACAGGTAACCTAGTTCTACATTGCAAACACGGTATGTTTATCTCCATTCTACCATGACTAAATAAAACGTAAACTCTTTGGTGTTAGCAAATATACTGAGTGAAGCGGCATGGGTTGAGTGCAGTGTTTTGGGTAGGCTGTCGATCTGAATCACGGAAACACCGACAACAGCCTTAAACAAAATATGGCGCTGTATATGCTCAAGCATTTTATTAACACTCGAACATATGACAGGCATTGAAAGCATATCCAGTGCCATAGCCAGCCGGGGCAGGCCCTCCCTCCAAATTGCTTGACCCGACCCGACTATATGTAGCCTGAAATTGCGAACACGAATCCACAATGCAGGAAAGGCTTCATTGATTAACTTAATTCTGCACATTACTAGGCCCAGCAAAAAGAGAGTATAAGGTGTCTGATTCACCTTGTAAAATCTTCATTTGAGGAATTTAACACTTCAATCCTTTGGAAACTGCGTGATCTCAGTACAAACAGGAAAGAAAGTATCCTTTTTTACACAAATCAATACGAGTAGGACTTGGGGCAGATTTATAGCTTCGCCTAGTTAAGGTTTCAAAATCGCATTTATCTTTAAAGATCGATAAATTGAAATGGTTGTCTTGCACTGCACCGCCATCGTGTGAAATTTGAGCTGAGGTAGTAATTCTAGGTTAGACAAATTGGAATCTTCGACGTCTACTTTACTTAAAAGATTGAATGTCAGATTCTGGCTGCTCCAGGGGAGAAGGTCCACTAACAACTCCCCTGGTGTATAATGCATCAATCTGAAAATCAAGCCGACTGATAGAAAGTCTTTGACAGAACACTTCAAGCAATGTTGGTGTATATCATTGTACAAAGAAATCTGGAAGCTTTGAAACATCATCTACGGCCATGGGTTTTTCTGCAAAGGCTAAGGGACGCAACTCTAGATAGCAAAGTTTGGCGCCTCAGATGACTGGGCTATGCGTGTCGTCTACAGTAAACTAGGCTAGCGCATTGCCTTTCGGAAGATATAGAAACATATCAGTTTGTGACGTTATCAACAATAGGTGACGCCATCTGCACTGATATGACTACGCATAAATTAGACTAACCGACTTAATGACCAGTCAACGCACAAAAAATGTACATCCGCGAGCGTGTGATTTGACGTAGGCCTGTTTACTTTACTGTATGACCAAAAATTGCCACTTTTCCAACTTTCAAAGCCGAGTCTTGGTAGAGGTTACGGAAAGGGACGAGGTATGCCGATTGCTTCTGAAGCTGCCACCCAATCCGGTTGGTCTTAGGTCATAAGAAGCAGCCGGAAAATCCAGCACGTCATGTCCTTTGTCAACAATGTGTATGCTGATGAATGTGGTCGGGCATTTTAATAGTTTAACCAAGCCCTCGCCTCCTGTCAATCAAGCAACATGACTGACCAATCAGGAAAGTCCCAAGTGATACAGAATGCGCCATTTTGTGTTTCAGCTTTAACCCGTCTGTCTCAAAGATTTTGAAACATATATTCGACAAAGTCAGTGTTTTCAGAAACATCAGTATCTCCGGAAATGTGACCGATTCATTTTGAAGATTAAATCGCACTAATTGTTGGGTCGAGGTAAACTCCTCTCTAGCGAAAGGTTAATTGGATCTAACAGTATCTCATTGAATTTACGTTGTCGTCCACAAAGTTGAGGGGAGTTACGACCCCGTCGGATATACGTTGGGGAGAACTTCGGAACTATACTCTGCAAACAAAAGAATTGCAAAAGTGATTTTAGATGTGTATTTTATGTATCATACAAATAGTCAACAGATGGTAATCGATTTCTTAATATTGATTGGCACAGAGCATGTCACTGACCCAGTTTCAATATGCCACATAGTAAACAGTAGATTTTCAAGGTGAACGTCATCTGTTCTCAATATCTTGTATGGCCACCATTAGAGTCCAAAACTGGCTGTCATCTTCGTCTCATAGAAGCAATCAGATCCCGAATTGTGGCCTGGAGAATGTTCACCCACTCTGCCTGCAGTGCTTGTGTCAACTGTCGGAGGTTCTGTGGTTGTTGCTGATGTGCTCGCAGTCGTTGATCCAGTTCATCCCACACATGATCGATTGGGTTAAAATCGAGAGACCTTGAGGGCCATAGCAGGTCTGGATGTTGTGATTCCTGAACAAGGCTGTTGTCAGTCCTGCCGTGTGAGGTCAGGCGTTGTCTTGTTGGAAAATGGCGTTTGCTTGTTGCATAATGGGAAGGAATTTCATCCGTGTAACGTTGTGCCTTAAAAAGGATGTAATCTGTCTGCAGCTGAATCGTCTGGCAGATGCTGTTCAAAGTCGTCAAAGGGAAAGGAACCACACACCAGAGAATAAAGGTTAAACTTTGTAATTGCACAATCGAAAGGGTCGATATTGCGATTGTGGTTCTTGACAATCAAAGGACAAAGGTCAGCGTTGTAATTGTAGAGGATGGAAAGGGTCGATGTTGTGATTGTGATTATTGACAATCAAAGGTCAAAATTTCAAATGTGATTGTTGTCTAATAGTGTGTGATGTGATATTATTGATATTATTAGCTTTTTAGGATTTTAGATTTCACTGGCAAAGCCAGCTAGAGTTCCGAACCTGTCGGATCGAGGGCCTTCCAGCAACATCTGGCTGGCACATTTGCAGGATAAGATCCTTGCACTCTGAGCTGATGGGCTCGGGAAATGGAAGGATGTGATCTTTCTGCAGCTGAACCATCTGGCTGATGCTGAAGTCGTCAAAGGGGAAGGAGCCACACACCAGAGAATAGAGGATGACCCCCAAACTCCAGATGTCTAGCTTGAATGCATCATACTCCTCTCCCGTTAGAACCTCGGGGGAGGAGTAAGTTACTGTTCCACAGAAGGTATTACTGGACTCTCTTTGCTCTTGGCGCGTGCAAAGGCCAAAGTCAGACAGCTTGACATTGCCGTCTAGGTCCAAAAGGACATTTTCCAGCTTAAGATCTCGGTGTGCAATCCCCACCTGGTGACAGGCGGTCACAGCCTCCACCAGTTGGGAAAAGATCACCTTGACTCTCTCCTCAGACAAGCTAAAGCTTTCCTGTGCAAGCAGGTCCAGGAGGTTTCCCCCCTCGGCCAGCTCCATCACAGTAAAAGCGTGCTTATCAGTCTCCAACACTGCGTAGATGTCCACAATGTTGGGATGTTTCACAGTCTTCAGAGCAAACGTCTCATTTGAGACATAGCTCTGAACTTTTTCTGTGATTTTTATGGCAACCTCCGAAAGGTCAACCATGTTTTCACAGAGCAAAACCGTACCAAAGCTTCCCTCTCCTAATAGGGATTTAACTCGGTAACCAATCGAACGCAAAACGTTCTTAATAGATGACATGACAGATGAATGATTTTGTCAATTTAACATCTCAGTACGTGTATACAGGATACATCGGTGATATATAGTGTAGTTCACATTTCAAAAGCATGTTGTACAGGATGTCATGGTATGACGTAAATCATATCTAACATCGGTATTAGTACATTGTATTTCGTTACACTCCAAGGAATTGTTCTGGCCATTTTCTCTCGATCATTGCAACACTTATTTTTTCTAGCCACATAATTTTCCACAAGTTTAGTATCTCTAATAATTCCCAAGAAAGCCTCTAGGTAAAGTTTACTGTTTTTAATACTTGAAATGTAGATGCATCTTTTAGTAGACATGATCTTTTTCATAAAATGAAGCCGGTATTAATTCCCAGAAGTATTGCAAAGTCCGAGAGAGTAATGTCTATATCCAAGAGTGTTTTAGCATACAATGACAACTCATTCCAAAATCCCTTCACATGTTCACAGGTTTGGCTCGGTTTGGTTTGTTGTTTAACGCCGCACTCGGCAATATTCCAGCTATATAACGGCGGTGTGTAAATAATCGAGTCTGGACCAGACAATCCAGTGATTGACATCATGAGCATCGATCCAAGCAATTGGGATGTTTCTATATCTTTGTCAAAATCCTTTTTGAGATGTACTCTCTTAATCTTGTCAGGTTTGTCATTCCAGATAAAATTGAAGAAGATTCTCTCTAAATTATCTATAAAAGACTTGGAGGACGCATGGAGGAAGCCCTAGAAGATGTTGAAAATATCCAATAATGTTTTGCATGCATGACGTATGGGACGACAAGGGATTATCGATAGTAACGTATATTAAAGGGGAACACAACTTTTAATATTGATGTGTCTGCTATATCGCGGAGGCTTGCGGCTTTCTTCGCCAGCTTAGGAGTAGACAAACGCCCTTAATAAACCAGATAACCGAGTCTATCTCAGGGTCACTCACCCGGCTGTACCCATACTCATTGGCCACACTGCCCACCTAATACATATATATGCATATTGCCGGTATTGGATTAGATTGGTTGTGGATCAGTTGGAAGAATAACGGTGAGTGAATGAGTTGGGTTTAACGCCGCTTTTAACAGTATTCCAGTTATATCACGGCGTGTCAGCTTAATGTGGGAGGAAAGCCCGAAGTGTTGCAGGTCTCGGACGTTTACCACTTCGGTGAAACCCACGAGCACGGGTATGGTGCTGACAAACCTAGAAACATAATCGGGGCGAACCGGGATTCGAACCCACAATCATAGGTTTCTGGCGTGTCCAAGGGACGCAACTCTGCACAGCGAATCGCGGCGCCTTCGCTGGCCCACCCGTGCCCCCAAGACCAACAGACGGACTGTCATTTGGTTATATTCAGCAAGGACGTATATAACCTACACACAAGACCGTGTTTTAAGTGAGCAACATTCCAGCTTTATCACGGGCCGAAAATATTTAAACCTGGACCACGGCGCCATTTCTGCGATGTTCAATAGACTTATCCTCAGTCTGTGATAATATATAATTTTGACAGAAACAAGCAACAACATTTAACGTGAAAAGAAGCCCCAGTGAAATAGGAGATTCAGAACCTGTGGAAAATCTATACTTTCTTCATTTAAGGCTTAAGCAATTCGATAAAGGCAGGGAGGAAGGGAAGGTAATATGGTTTCGAGACTGTGACACCCATATAGACTTGAACACAGTGTGTATAGGTTAACAGCCACAGCACTGCGATCACGTTGTGCCAGTAGGCCCTAAAACTGTTCCTGTTTAATGAGCATGTGGGTTAGGTTACCCTATCTCTTTACACCAGAAATAATACACATTTCCTTAAACATGTACTCTAATGTCAGTGTGTAAACTTTGTCATGGGTTGAATCACATTGGTGTTATTTGTTGTTAAAGATTTATTCCGACATTTAATGTAATGTTAGAAATACTAGATCTCGTATACACTGCGACTTTCATAGTTCTGTGATATGCACACACTGCACCACAACATCAAATATAGTGTGTGTGTGTGTGTGTGTGTGCGTGTGTGTGTGTGTGTGCGTGCGTGCGTGCGTGCGTGCGTGCGTGCGTGCATGCGTGTGTGTGTGTGTCTGTGTCTGTGTCTGTGTCTGTGTTGTCATGTCATACCCACATATTGGACGATGGTTGCGACAGGACAATATCAATATATGTTTATACTATCGACCAATAGACGCTGTCTGTAAGCCAAATTGAAATAAAAAGGCCAACGGGATCTTTTATTTGCAACCTTCCGCGACACGCCGGATCCAGTAAAACATTCATTCTACCATGAATTTGGAATTCACTCGATTCTGATTTGTCAATCAGAGGCTATTAAATCACAATAAACCCCCTCTGATTGAAACAGCTGGTTTGACGGCCGGATCCAGTAAAACAGTCAATGAACTAACCCCATTCAGAAAGCATAAAATGAATAGGCCCTGCATTGTCGTGATGAAGTGAGTAAATGAGTATGGTTTTACGCCGCTTTTAGCTATATTCCAGCAATATCACGGCTGGGAACACCAGAAATGGGCTTCACACATTTTACCCATGTCGGGAATCGAACCCGGGTCTTCGGCGTGACGAGCGAACGTTTTAACCAGTAGGCTACCCGACCGACCCCGTGATGAAGTGATGAAGTGATGAATGTAATGCATGAAAACATACAGAGCCTATATCAGAGTATTGTGTTAACATGAAATCAGATAAATTATTTTGAAAATCATTTTAAACGCGTTTATCGTCGGTGATATTAAAAAAAGATAATATTTGAGTAACATGCATTTTATTACACCGTATTTTACTGCCAGCACAGGCGATGTTCGTTCCAGAACAGTCACTATACCTAATTTTGCTATGTGGTGGAATGGGGTTTAACGTCGCGTCCAAGATTGTTGCACTTATATAGCGACGTGCATGTACGTGTGTGTGTTTGTGTGGCTGCTTGTACTAGTCCGGACTGATGCCGATTTATAGTGCTAGCCCACTGAGATACCATGCCGCAGTTTAACATGAATACCCCACTCAGACACAGTATACTGACTCCGAGCCGAACAGTCCTTGTTTTAGCCCCTTAATACCGAGCGCCAGACAGGGTAACAACAAGTACCATCTTTTAACGTATTTTGGTATGACGCGGCCGGGGATCGAACCCCGGACCTTCCGCTCTCCGGGCGGACGCTCTACCTCTAGACCACGGAGGCGGTCAATTTTGCTATGTAGGATCAACACATTCTCCTGGCTAATTTGCTAATTGTCTGGGTCTATGTATGTTTCAGCCAGCACTAAATGTGGCACTGTGCCTATGCAGGGTCCAGATACCACGTATCCACTAGACAACATCTAGTCTCTGAAATGAAATTATTTTACAGAAGAAACTTGTTAAATTATATTATTGAAATATATAATGTAGTACAGAGGATGTCTTGCTCTTCATTTTCAGAAACCAAAGTAATCTAGACTTGCATGGAGTGTATTGGGTCTATTTGTTACAGGGTCTGTATGACAGACCTGACTACCTCATCAATATTGGCATTGATGATCTGTACCGTTAAGCACAGCGGGCACCTGTTCGCATCATGCGATCATCAGCTGCGGACATCGAGACGAACACACCACCTGTAAGTCGGTGTGACGTGCACATGGCACTTCGTGTTAGGCAACCGTTCCTTGCCGTCATTACGGCATCATTACGTCATCTGGTGAGCAGTCGATATTCACCACTGTACATAAGAACTGAACTGCGTGGGAGTTCAAGCCGATGGCTATGGGGAAGGCGTCTCGTAACTGCGGTAACCGCATCTTTGTGTAGCATCAAGTCAATACCAAAGTCGTTTATAGGAAACAAGCAGGGAGATGCGTCTATCGCAGCTAAGCGTCTTGGAACTGTTGGGAATGTTTCAGATAAACAATTTACGAAAAACAATTTGTGGATACCTTGAAAAAATGTCTTTTGAAAGATGTTTTTTCGCCTCCTTCTTGAGATGATGACATTTGTATGCCTGGAAGCAGGAACAAACAGCCTGTGTTGAATCATCCCTGCTATCCTGAAGATGGAACGGTTAGGCAGTGTGAATAGAAATTGATTTTGTGGGAGTCGGTGATGTCTTATAAACGTACTTGAATACCGAATAAAAACAGGGGAATAAACTATGATTTCTTTCTAAAGATGAAGTGTTGAGTGTTGGCTAGTGCTATACATAACTGTATATGCCTAGAAATTGAAAACAAAACAACAATTCTTACATATAAATAAGTGTTTCCAAACCAAAAAGCAATTTCTAAAACTTGTATCCTGTATTTATTTTCTGAGTAAACATGGTAAAGGCATTTTTTTTTCTTGACAAACTCCACGATACATCACACAATCCAACATCAGTCACACCAGTGCATCCACCATACATCACACCATCCACCACACCATACATCACACAATCCACCTTACATCACACCATCCAACATCCATCACACCTGTGCATCCACCTTACATCACACCACCCACCATACATCACACCATCCACCACACCATACATCACACAATCCACCTTACATCACACAATCCAACATCAGTCACACCAGTGCATCCACCATACATCACACCATCCACCATACATCACACCATCCACCACACCATACATCACACAATCCACCTTACATCACACCATCCAACATCCATCACACCAGTGCATCCACCTTACATCACACCACCCACCACACGTCACACCATCCATCATACATCACACAATCAACCATACATTACACCATCCACCACACCATACATCACACCATCCACCATACATTACACCATCCACCTTACATCACACCATCCACCTTACATCACACCATCCACCATACATCACACCATCCACCATACATCACACCATCCACCATACATCACACCATCCACCATACATCACACCATCCACCTTACATCACACCATCAACCATACATCACACCATCCACCATACATCACACCATCCACCTTACATCACACCATCCACCTTACATCACACCATCCACCATACATCACACCATCCACCATACATCACACCATCCACCTTACATCACACCATCCACCTTACATCACACCATCCACCATACATCACACCATCCACCATACATCACACCATCCACCTTACATCACACCATCCACCATACATCACACCATCAACCATACATCACACCATTCACCATACATCACACCATCCACCTTACATCACACCATCCACCTTACATCACACCATCCACCTTACATCACACCATCCACCTTACATCACACCATCCACCATACATCACACCATCCACCTTACATCACACCATCCACCTTACATCACACCATCCACCTTACATCACACCATCCACCATACATCACACCATCCACCTTACATCACACCATCCACCATACATCACACCATCCACCTTACATCACACCATCCACCTTACATCACACCATCAACCATACATCACACCATTCACCATACATCACACCACACACCAAACATCACACCATCCACCACACATCACACCAACCACCACACATCACACCACACACCATACATCACACCATCAACCATACATCACACCATCCACCACACATCACACCATCCACCATACATCACACCATCCACCATACATCACACCACCCACCACACATCACACCATCCACCACACAGCACACCATCTACCACACATCACACCATCCACCTTACATCACACCATCCACCTTACATCACACCATCCACCACACATCACACCATCCACCATACATCACACCATCCACCATACATCACACCATCCACCTTACATCACACCATCCACCTTACATCACACCATCCACCTTACATCACACCATCCACCATACATCACACCATCCACCATACATCACACCATCCACCTTACATCACACCATCCACCACACATCACACCGTCCATCATACATCACACCACACACCAAACATCACACCATCCACCACACATCACACCAACCACCACACATCACACCACACACCATACATCACACCATCAACCATACATCACACCATCCACCATACATCACACCATCCACCATACATCACACCATCCACCTTACATCACACCATCCACCTTACATCACACCATCAACCATACATCACACCATCCACCATACATCACACCATCAACCATACATCACACCATCAACCATACATCACACCATCCACCATACATCACACCATCCACCATTCATAACACCAGTGCATCCACCTTACATCACAACATCCACCATACATCACACCATCCACCTTACATCACAACATCCACCTTACATCACACCATCCACCTTACATCACACCATCCACCATACATCACACCATCCACCTTACATCACACCATCCACCTTACATCACACCATCCACCTTACATCACACCATCCACCATACATCACACCATCCACCTTACATCACACCATCCACCTTACATCACACCATCCACCATACATCACACCATCCACCATACATCACACCATCCACCTTACATCACACCATCCACTTTACATCACACCATCCACCATACATCACACCATCCACCATACATCACAGCACCCACCACACGTCACACCATCCACCTTACATCACACCATCCACCACACATCACACCATCCACCATACATCACACCATCCACCTTTAATCACACCATCCACCACACATCACACCATCCACCATACATCACACCATCCACCATACATCACACCATCCACCTTACATCACACCATCCACCACACATCACACCATCCACCATACATCACACCATCCACCATACATCACACCACCCACCACACATCACACCATCCACCACACATCACACCATCCACCACACAGCACACCATCTACCACACATCACACCATCCATCATACATCACACCATCCACCTTACATCACACCATCCACCACACATCACACCAACCACCACACATCACACCACACACCATACATCACACCATCAACCATACATCACACCATCCACCATACATCACACCATCCACCATACATCACACCATCCACCTTACATCACACCATCCACCTTACATCACACCATCAACCATACATCACACCATCCACCATACATCACACCATCAACCATACATCACACCATCCACCATACATCACACCATCCACCATACATCACACCATCCACCATTCATAACACCAGTGCATCCACCTTACATCACACCATCCACCATACATCACACCATCCACCTTACATCACACCATCCACCTTACATCACACCATCCACCTTACATCACACCATCCACCATACATCACACCATCCACCTTACATCACACCATCCACCTTACATCACACCATCCACCTTACATCACACCATCCACCATACATCACACCATCCACCTTACATCACACCATCCACCTTACATCACACCATCCACCTTACATCACACCATCCACCATACATCACACCATCCACCTTACATCACACCATCCACTTTACATCACACCATCCACCATACATCACACCATCCACCATACATCACACCATCCACCATACATCACAGCACCCACCACACGTCACACCATCCACCTTACATCACACCATCCACCACACATCACACCATCCACCATACATCACACCATCCACCTTACATCACACCATCCACCACACATCACACCATCCACCTTACATCACACCATCAACCATACATCACACCATCCACCTTACATCACACCATCCACCATTCATAACACCAGTGCATCCACCTTACATCACACCATCCACCATACATCACACCATCCACCATACATCACACCATCCACCATTCATAACACCAGTGCATCCACCTTACATCACACCATCCACCATACATCACACAATCCACCATACATCACACCATCCACCTTACATCACACCATCCACCATACATCACACCATCCACTTTACATCACACCATCCACCTTACATCACACCATCAACCATACATCACACCATTCACCATACATCACACCATCCACCTTACATCACACCATCCACCTTACATCACACCATCCACCATACATCACACCATCCACCTTACATCACACCATCCACCATACATCACACCATCCACCACACATCACACCATCCACCATACATCACACCATCCACCTTACATCACACCATCCACCTTACATCACACCATCCACCATACATCACACCATCCACCTTACATCACACCATCAACCATACATCACACCATCCACCATACATCACACCATCCACCTTACATCACACCATCCACCTTACATCACACCATCCACCATACATCACACATCCACCTTACATCACACCATCAACCATACATCACACCACTCACCATACATCACACCATTCACCATACATCACACCATCCACCTTACATCACACCATCCACCATACATCACACCATCCACCATACATCACACCATCCACCATACATCACACCATCCACCATACATCACACCACCCACCACACGTCACACCATCCACCTTACATCACACCATCCACCATACATCACACCATCCACCACACATCACACCATCCACCACACATCACACCATCCACCACACAGCACACCATCCACCACACATCACACCATCCATCATACATCACACCATCCACCATACATCACACCATCCACCATACATCACACCATCCACCACACATCACACCATCCATCATACATCACACCACACACCATACATCACACCATCCACCACTCATCACACCATCCACCATACATCACACCATCCATCATACATCACACCATCCACCATACATCACACCATCCACCATACATCACACCATCCACCACACATCACACCATCCACCTTACTTCACACCATCCACCTTATATCACACCATCCATCACACCATCCACCATACATCACACCATCCATCACACCATCCACCTTATATCACACCATCCATCACACCAGTACATTCCGATATGTTACTATAATATTGCTAGCTGTGCGCTCAACAACAAACAATAAAAACAATAAAATTTTCAACATTTAACTTGTTTTTTTACTTAGTACTTGGCAAGTGTTGAAAACAAACAAACAAGGAAATGGTACAGCAACATTATAGTTGTGTGATTCAAGTCCAAAATACATTTCAAGTTTTCGCATAACGTATCCAGGTAGAAGTACGCGAACAACACTAGTCGTTGGGGAAATAGCATTTCCTTCTTCCGCAGTTCGCGAGATTATACGAGATCGAAAGGGCACCTGTGGAAACAGGCAAACCAAGATAGCTGAGAGGGCTACCTCTTCGTATATTTTTCGTGCAATAATTGCGATTAAGGGCTGATCAATCCGGCCTCATGGCAGAAATCAGGCAAAGAAATGTGACAAGTGCAGAGCAGCCGAGAGAGGTGAGATTGGCTCTCGAAATGATACATGTTTTGAATGGGAAGTCGGCCAAAACACGGAAAACTGGTCATCATAAAATCAGAATAAATTTGCAAAATTATTGCCAAAAATTGATCTCCGCTGAATTCCTTGAAATCATATAATTTCGATACATATAACAACACGTGAGTGTTTGTTTTGGTTTCACAGAAGTTCATTTATGTAAATTGTAATATGTTCATGTGAACCACTTGTAATATTTGACAGTGTTTATGTGATGGAAGGAACACATGATCCAATAATCGTGAGTGTGTATTGATAAAAATAGATGTTACTGGCAAGTCAAGAATGCTCATAGAATTTGTAATGTAGACAGCACTGTTGTCTACATCAGCAGCATTACATAAGTAACTATAAACATGTGTATTGTATTGAATTGAAGGAGTTACACTGTAAAGTTTCTATAGTGATAACCATGCATAGTTTACTATCATTTCACTTCGCATATGTCTAAAAGGGGAGGTAATACATTGTTTATATGAGTCGCAGATACTGTTGAAGATTAAATCTAAAATGAATCTGTGTCTGACATGTCTGCGTGTTGAAAAGACTTGATGTTACATGGTGGCTAAATTTTCTTTTGTCAATGATTTTTTTAAACTACCAGAAAACAGAGCTAGATAACATTGTGGACATCAAGCAGGTTGACGTCACACACTAATCATGATCTGGTACAGTTTTTGGTCTGCACTGCAACAAATCAGCACTTTGTGGTGCAAGATAAGGCTTGTCCAAGGCATCCATAATATGTTGTGGAGTATGCGTACAAATAGTGTAGATGGACTTATAAATTATGGCAAGTCCTATGCTTCTCACATTTTGTGTATTAATTCAATGGCAATGAAACCTTGGTTTCATTCACTGTATGTCTTTTTGTTTGTACTGTTACCATGGTTACTGAAATATCTTTTGATATTCATTTAGCTTAGTAAATGTGTAATGTCTGTATTTTGCAGGGATGCATCTTTCCCCGAAACGTTTACTTGCATAAATAAATAGGGCTGTGTATTTGTTAAGCATTAGCATTAGAATAGCTCACTAATAACCTAAACGGAAAACACCCATTAAATCATACAGACAATTTATCATTAATGATATCATTAGTATGCTTCTCGTAAGAGGCGACTAACGGGATCCGGTGGTCAGGCTTGCTGACTTGGTTGACATGGTTGATCCATGTCATCCTATCCCAAATGCGTGGATCAATGCTCATCATGTCAGTCACTGGATTTTCTGGTCCAGACTTTATTATTTACACACTGCCGTCATATAGCTGGAATACTGGTGAGTGCGGTGTTTAACAGCATACAAACAAACGAAAGAGTGACCCCGACCACCCAAGCCCGTTAGTCACCTCTTAAGACAAGCTTAATCACCTTTCATGACAAGCATGGGATGCTGAAGACCTATTCTAACCTGGGACTGTGCATATGACATAGCAGTTATGAAATTTGGTCTTCATAACGTGACACCCTGTTTTCCTGATATATATGAAACTGAAAGATTATGAAATAATCACATGATAGAATATGAATAAATAAAATGTGTTGTATGCAGGAGACCAGTTATCCTGTTCATGTTGTTAGATAATCCAGTTGAATGTTGATATACATAATGTCAGCCCACATTTTATAGAAAGCTTCTCATTCAGGCCATGTGGAGCTGATAATCAGTGCTCAGATAACCATTAACAGCATTAAGTAGATAATAACTTAAAGCTTGGAGCAATTACAGATTATATTTCCCTGATCAGTGACATGAGCTATTTAGCTTACATCTAGAACAGCCAGTAAAATGTGAGCCAACTCTGTAATACATTATGTACCAACTGAGCATGTACTAATAACCTCTTTCTCCCGTCCGGCTGGGGGATAATTGTCATTGGCCTTGGTTTGTTTTATATTCATTAGCTAAAATTTTATATTTGGTAAACATAGTAAATTATCCTGTCAATGGGTGGATATGGCAAGGCTTGATGTCATTCAACAACGTTGAACTGACCTGAGCATGGTGAATCATGATAAATAATGTGAAGTTCGTATTTCGGGAATTGAACAGTTGTATTAATAAGTTTGTCCTGTAAATCAGCAATAAAGAGGTAAGTAATAAAAAGTTTAGCCTCCAGTCCGAAACCCATGTCTGGTAAACTTTCTTACTTTGTTTGTTTGTTTGTTGTTTAATGCTGCACTCAGCAATATTCTAGCTATATGACAGCAGTCTGTAAATAATCAAATATATACAAGACAGTCCAGTGATTGACATCATGAGCATTGATCTACGCTGTTGGGATACAATGACATGCATTGCCGAAGTGAGTGAGCCTGACCAACCGATTAGTCACCACTTTGACAAGCATTTGTTGCAGAATACCAATTCTAATCTGGATCGTCACAAGGGGTTGAAATGATGTCAGGTGCAGTAGGCATGATAGAAACGGATGTTTTGGACATAGATTAGACTTTGTGATGAACCACACATTGTTTTGTATAACTCACTGGCATCATAAGTATACTGATTATAAGACCTTAAACGTCCCACTTGTCACATGCTAAATACTTGTAGTGACTTTTAACATGTCTATCTTTGCCCATGTTAAAGTTCTTCATTCATAGAAATATTTTCATATTCTGTCCCTGGTTTTGCTTTGAAAAGTATAGAACTTGTAGTAATGTACCTTATTTTCTGGTTTATAGTGCGCATTATAGCATAATGTGCATCCCCCATATATAGTGTGCAGTAAGACACTACATTGTATAGATTCAGGTGAGTGAGCAGGACATGACAAACTTGGTAAATAAAAATATTAAATTTACAATAAAATATCACTGGACATGATGATTTACAATTTTAATTGTATTTACTCTATGCTATGTATTGTTTTATATACAAAGATCTGCTGATCAGATAACATTATTTCAAGGGAAAATATAGTAAGTATTTTATAGTAAATAAAGTTAATATGATCTAGTCATTGAATAAGATCATGTTTTCTTCCCCATTTATTTTTATACTTGATGTTATTATTCTTGCAATTGCTATAGTGTAAATTATAGCTTTTGCAACATATTGTTGACATAACACGCCTAATTGTCCCCCGCCGCGCGAAGCGCGAAGTGGGGGATATAGTATTCACGACCGTCCGTACGTCCGTCCGTACGTCCCACCTGTTTGTTGCCGCGATATCTCAAGAACTAAACACTGGATTGTCTTCATATTTGGAACTATGGTGTATATACAGACTCCGCAGACACCAGTCGGTTTTGGTGACCTTGAGCCCATTTTCAAGGTCACAGCAGGTAAATCTGCTTTTGGAGTTGGAAAACGGTGTTGCCGCGATATCTCAAGAACTAATCGCAGGATTGTCTTCATGTTTGGAACTATGGTGTATATACAGACACCGCAGACACCAGTCGGTTTTGGTGACCTTGACCCCATTTTCAAGGTCACAGCAGGTAAATCTGCTTTTGGAGTTGGAAAACGGTGTTGCCACGATATCTCAAGCACTAATCGCTGGATTGTCTTCATGTTTGGAACTATGGTGTATATACAGACACCGCAGACACCAGTCGGTTTTGGTGACCTTGACCCCATTTTCAAGGTCACAGCAGGTAAATCTGCTTTTGGAGTTGGAAAACGGTGTTGCCACGATATCTCAAGCACTAATCGCAGGATTGTTTTCATGTTTGGAACTATGGTGTATATACAGACTCCGCAGACACCAGTCGGTTTTGGTGACCTTGACCCCATTTTCAAGGTCACAGCAGGTAAATCTGCTTTTGGAGTTTGAAAACGGTGTTGCCGCGATATCTCAAGAACTAATCGCAGGATTGTCTTAATATTTGGAACTATGGTGTATATACAGACACCGCAGACACCAGTCAGTTTTGGTGACCTTGACCCCATTTTCAAGGTCACAGCAGGCAAATCTGCTTTTGGAATTTGAAAACAGAGTTGCCGCGATATCTCAAGAACTAAACACTGGATTGTTTTCATATTTGGAACTATGGTGTATATACAGACTCCGCAGACACCAGTCGGTTTTGGTGACCTTGACCCCATTTTCAAGGTCACAGCAGGTAAATCTGCTTTTGGAGTTTGAAAACGGTGTTGCCGCGATATCTCAAGAACTAATCGCAGGATTGTCTTAATATTTGGAACTATGGTGTATATACAGACACCGCAGACACCAGTCGGTTTTGGTGACCTTGACCCTATTTTCAAGGTCACAGCAGGCAAATCTGCTTTTGGAATTGGAAAACGGTGTTGCCGCGATATCTCAAGAACTAATCGCTGGATTGTCTTCATATTTGGTATTTTGGTGTATATACAGGCGGGGGACATTTCGTCACTTCTGTGACAAATACTTGTTGAACTTGCTACAAACACCTGCCTGAAACACATGGTGCTCTTTGTGATGCTGATGTATCCCATAATTATTATCGTTCGCGTTCACTAATATTGGAGCTGTCAGACTAATGATGGCATCTGAACATGATTACAGAATGAACATATATATTTGGTGGGACTACATATTTCATAAAGCAAAGAAACAAGACAACAGGCATACAGATTTCTTCCGTTGACTTTTATTTCTAAAAAAATTGAATTCTGAACTAAACGATCAAAACGATATGCCTTAACAGTTCCATGACGTGGATGATATAACTAACCAGCTGCTTATTGATATAGGAAATGCCCACACACATAATGTGAACTCTCAGCATCTCCTGAATGTCGTTTTGAATCGTAGACCATTCATTGTGCGCTATGATGAATAGATAAACCACTAAACTTGTGAAGTTCACGTAATAATTTTCAAACAAACAATCCTGATAGTGCAACAAGTCAGTTTTAAATCACACACATTCAAGTACACACACGTCTTCTTCTCATGTATCCGCATTCAGCCGCTTAACGCACAGGCCGCGGACACCTAAACGAGCCTCCTGGTGGTAATGAAGAC